AAATGTAGGTGGTTTTAGTAGGACTCGTATTGTCGATATCACAGTTGGTGTGCTTTATGGAGGTTGCGTTCTGACGTGCAACTGATGGTTGAGAATAGATCCATGTGAAGTTGGGGACTTCCAGAAACCGCAACTTTACACCCTTCTGGAATATCTGAGGCTCTAATGTTGGTTCAGGACGTAGTCACCCGTTCCATATATGTTTTCGGTGGCATATCCCGAGGGGTCTGAAAAAAGGTGTAAGAAAAAAGGATGAAAAGATAAATGGACAATTGTGGTGTTTGAATGAACTAGTGATTTCTTAGTACTTGTTGAATACATGAGTTCGAATTCCAAATACAGTATATTCGTTCGTGTTTATCCAGTACTTCGTGGTTAAATTCCGTTATTTCTGGGGTTCCCAGTTTGTACTATAATTCAAATACTTCTAATTATCACAACAATGTTCATGGAGGAATAGTTATTGTATGACCATTCAGTCTAATTCTAATACATATTGAGCAAGAGCATTCTAATATGTCAAAGCGAATAAGTGTAAACAAGTTATGAGTTGACAGTTGACAAAAGGAGGTGGTTCAGAAAGAGGCTGAGAATATGGGAATATGTGTATTTATAAAAAATTGTGCTGAAAATAGTATTCTGATACACAAATGACTGTCTCCCGTTTTTGTCGAAGCTATTTGAGCCCATTTTTCGATATGATGGGAAGAAAAATCATTTTTCGATTGATTTACTTATTATGAGTTGTATTCAACATTACACCCATTCTAATTCAATGTGATGATAATTCACGGTAGAACTTGTTTTCTTTTGTCGAATGATATTTTTTTATGTATAATATACGATATTCTTCTATTCCTTTGACATGAACTATAATCACTCTGTGATTGTTATAACTCTAAGTATTTCCCATATATATGATTTTATTCTAACTATTAATCAAAAATGGGTGTAAAATCAGTATATAAACCAGTGTATTTTAGACTATTTTGATCATCGTCATCGCCGTGTTTTGGGGCTAATAAATCTTCACTTATACCACTCTTGTGTTCTTAATTTCGCATCGTGGGAATTGCCGAGGTCCCACGTTCCGAGTATAAGTGATCAGCGTCTTTCTCCGGCACAACAATTTTATAAGGTCTTGATCAGGCTTCGTTAATAGTGAATTATCTGCTTTGTTTGTAATAGGTTTACTCGGTAGAAAGTGGAATCAATTCAGCGTCCTAAACACGATTTAACGAGGTATTTTGCATAATGAATCGGCATCAAGAACACCGGTTCGTAACATTCCACTAGATTATAAGGAGCCGAAACTAAGCGAAATGTTCTACCCCATAGACATCTGTGGATTGAAGTTATCTCCTTACCATCATGTTCGCTGGTCAGTAACGCCACCTTCCCTCTTTTTGTGATATTAGGCTCTCCCACGTTTGTGGTAAACATGAATACTGCTTTAATCGAAGTCCATAGTTGGAATACACCGTCTCTATTAGTTCCATGTTACAAGCAAATCAGATGGTTAAAGCAATTGTACTGTGGGTTAGACGTCAATTTAATATGTCACACAGCTGTTGTATAACGTGATTAGTCTCACTAACGTATTAACGTATTATCGTAATATATGTGAGAGAGAACAAACATTTTAAACATCTGTTATACCAGATAATATATATTTTATTATAGAAAATGCTGTCATTATCCGCCCCTTAATATTGCACGCTATGAAAACTCAGAAGACCTGTAGGCTTTCTGTCTTATTGTAAACAGCTTCGTCAACTTCCTTGAACACCCATTTGAACCATAGATACATTTATACGGACCGCCTAACATTTAATCTTTTCCAAATATACTGTTTACCGACCGAAAATATATCATATTCTCACTGCCCATCACATATTTACAGCTAAGTTATCATACAGTCTAGGTATCAATGACACTGACCATTATAGAGAATTTCAATAATAAATATATTTCTGCAACACCTCAATGAGTAAAAATTGTATTTCTGACGTTTCGTGGATTAACGCAAGTTACTTCTTCAGGCTAAACAAATAACAAGGCCACTCGCTAAAAACGAAGCCTGCTCATCACCCTGAAAAATCAATAAAAATTAAAATGAACTGAAATAGCTTCGACGTGAAACGGAGATAGCTATTTGTTTATCAGGATACTCTTTTCAGTACTACATTTTAAAACCACACATAATACTATAATTTCGGGTTATTTTGGACTACCTCTATTTATAAGGTTCTTCATCCACTTATACCTTATTTACGCTTATTTTCCTTAACTCATTATAGTTCTCTTGCTTAAACTGTACCTTAATAATAAGTAGTTATACCCTAACTGTTCCTCCACATATGACTCAACTTCAATAGGAATGGTCATTCTCTAATCTGCTTCTCGTCCTTTCTTTTTCTTCTCCCCTCATTCATCTCCCTCGAGATATGCCACAATGAATACATGTGGAACGTGTGATTTCCTCATGAGCCATCATTAACATCTTAGATATTCCAGAAGAATATAAAGTTGATGTTTCTAGGAGCTTTCATCTTTGCGTAGATATATTCTTGATTATCAGTTGCACGACACAACGCTTCAGTATACTGCTTAGACATTCAGAAAAAGCACATGTGGGAGCATTTGTGAAGCTCATTATAGCTCATAAAGGAATGTCAGGCTTATGAATACTCGATGGCTCATCATCTGAAACCGCAAACATAAATAACTTTCATAACCACTTTCATACGCACCAACTAATAAAGTCGTGTTTGAAACAGAATCACCCTGATATTGACATTTTCAGACATATAATGATTTTGATATAGTTAAAAATCTCCCATATAAATTCCTCCGTTCTACTTAAACATGAGTTATTTTTATTTCACTTATTTGTTTGCCCTGAAGAAGTGACTTGCATTAAGTCATCAAACGTCAGAAATACAATTTCTTCTCATTGGAGTATCACAGATATGTCATAACTATATTATTATATTCTACACAATGACTCAGTTTTGTTTTGGGTTGCATCATTTTTCGTCGAGGAGATCTATATTTCTTTTTCATTCATTTTTCGAGCAAACAAAAATGCTTACATAACATAAGGGTGATGATTTACTATGACCTACTGTACGAAACCCAAAATATCCTTAATTATACAGGATACCTTCCAAATTATGCTTTACTAATTTAAAGGTTTACATATCCCAAATTTATCAGCATTCAAGTGTTTTGTCTACTTTACTTATTTAATGAGTTACCCATAGATATTATGAACCGCAAAGTCTTTCTTTAATATTATATAATCAGCTATCTATCATGATCATCTCCAAGCTATATATATATATCAAAAGTATCTGATAGTCTATACCATTAGTTAAGTTCATGGCAGCGTGACATACTAAATCGATATCTAACCTAAAAAAAGCTTCATTCTTCTGATTCGCACGTGACATGGGACCTTTAGAGACAATGAATTCTAACAAGTTGTGGAACACAGAGTTCGGCTTAAAGCGGTTTTAAAAAATAACACAAGCACACAAGAGAGCTTTACACCATAAAGGAAGGGAGGGTGGAGTTTTTGACCAACAAATATGATGGTGGGGGAGATAACTTCAGTTCATTAATGTTCTTCGGGCAGAACATGTTGTTCACATACCGTTCCTAATGGTCTAGCGGGATATAAATAATCAGTGGTGTTGATGTTACCTATCTGTGGCAAATTCCTCGATGGCTCATGTTTATATGATTGAAGTTTCACCTTCTACCAAAAATCCCCGTTATAAGAAAAAGTGGACAATTATTCAAAAATTGAGACCACTAAAGATGACACAGTTATTCAGATTTTGACAACACCCTTACACATAACGCCTATATGATCGAAGTGTGACAAATCAGTCAAATCAAAAGTCAGAAATGAAGCGATCCAAAGATATACTTAGGAGATCATCAGTATATCAGGGAGCGTCTAGTCTAAACCGGCTAGTAGTTGCAAGTGACATGTAAGATATGTAAGTCATTGAAGCAGATGATGATGTCAAACGATTAAGCGCCTATTCGAGTTAGACGGGAATGGTGTGACGAACCAGCTAACTTCGAAATCACATATCGTGGTCAGCACCTAACGTGGACTACCCTTTCATCGTATCAAGGTACTATAGCTGCTCTGAAGGTCGTATAACGCACAGGCGTTATTACAGAAATATATTAGTAAGATTAGGTATAAAGAAGACAGTGCGACCACCACATGGGCCAGTTCATGGTGTTCTATGAATTCATTCGCGTTGGTTTTCCTCAAATTTGATGACGACAGGTGAACCGTCCGATATTTAGTGACCTAAATGCCGAATGATCTGACCAGGTTTAACTGACACTTCAATGGCTCTACACATAGTTCAGTGTACCCACTCCAGAACTGGTGCAGATGCGTTACCGGGCGCCATCAGCTAGAAGTGTCCACTTAAACCAATGAAATCAACACCAAATGTTGAAGAATTAGAGAACAACTTATTTTCGGAATTTATTTACTGCTACACTACTAACAGCCTTATAAAAGTGATGGTAATCATAAAGAAGTAATAATTAGCATGGAATAAAGTTTTGTCTTTGTATCCAAGCTTTGTGTTTCTTTACTACAGTCTAGGGGTCTAAATAATCTTAAATTTTTGTCCAAACTGATGGACATTGATCTTAACGTTATTCTTCAATCATTTTTCGCATTATTAACAGATCCACCTGCCCTCCAGATCCATAAGAAAGAGTAAAAGGTAGATACCTATTTAACCAAGATCTCTCTCTTATAATTCAGACACAGTCCAAGGAACGAAACGTTGGCAATTTGTGGCCTGTAAGGTTTGAAGTTTAACCGCTCAGATTGCTTTCGTGCGCTACTTCTGATCACATGCAATGGATATTCAGGTAATACTTAAAGGGATACTTAAGTAGTTCCTTTTGAAATAGAAAGTATAATTATACTTTCTTAGGACGCATTTGAAGACTTCATGATTTCATCTTCCAGTTATCCGACCGAAGTTATTGACTTGACTAATAGTGATACAGACACAAAACCCATATCACCAGCTGCTGTTCGACACCTTTCCAGAGAAAAGAATAAAAGCACTTCAAAGGCACTTGCTGAAGCCGACGGCTGTTCCAAAGATATGGGGGAGAAGAATGGTTGTGATGACGAAGATTTTGATATCGAAGATGAAAGCATCATAGAACGCTTAATTGGTCTATTAGAAATGTTTCCAGAGCCAGTACGTCGCGGTGTTTCTTTCGCCTACAGTGCAGCTTCAGAAGGCGTTGTATCGGGTTATTCTCTCAGCAGATCGGTGACTTGGTTTTTGGTGAGCACAGCTACTGTATGTTTCCTCCCACTTATTCTGGAGCTAGAACGAGTTCAAACTGAAGAGCAAGAGGCAGTACAACAGCGTGCAATGATGCTTGGCCCTAGGGCTGCAGGTGGTGGTTCTGGCCTGGCCGGATTTTCAGCAGCAGTTCCTCATCTTACTCACATAGAACCCAAGTAGAAAACGTATTCTTTATATGCATTTGTACTTTCACCAGTAATTATAAGCTAATACAAATACTGTTACGCTCATAACAGCAACCCATATTTAGTTCACTAAGTCTTCACCGTTAATTTGTACGTGAGGTTGGAAAAAAGTTAGGGGCGGCCAAACCAAAACGTGGCATCAGTGCCTGAAGTCACTAACTTCTAGTCTGAGCCATGTTGGTAGATGCAGACTACTCGGTTGGGGTCCGCGTGACTATCGTAACCAATGTTTGGAGACTCTTGGTGACATGGCTCAGAATATATTACAATGGCGTCAGTGTATACTTTTTGTCTTCCCTTAAGCTATGAGATTAAAGTCAGATTTGTGTAGTAAGGACAGAAGGCCTACGGCCTATGTTATTCCTTTTCTAGTATGTTTCTGAGTGTCCAGTCTTCTCTTGAAAGAGTCAGTTGAAGGTGCGGACACCACCGCTTCAGGCAGCAGGTTTCAATTACTGATGACTCAGTGTGAAAACCTGTATGCCACGGGTATTTTACTCGTTCTTGGCTTTTCTACTCGTCTGCTATATCCTCTGAGATGTCCCAATCTAGTGGGAAGAAAAAGAGAGAATAAGTTAGGTCCGAAATCATTTCTCAGTATTCTGTACATCAAAATTATATCTCCCCTTAGTCTGCGATAGAACAGAGTAAAGAGGTCCGGTTTTTCAAGCCACTCTTTGTATGATAAACCCCGGAGTTCCGGAATTGCACGGGTAGCTGCCCTCTGTACTTCTTCTAGTATGTCCGAGTCACCTTTTAAGCAGAGGCTTGCAGCCTGAACACAGTTCTCTAGCTTAGTTCTCACTAAGGATGTGTATACTGTGGTGAACATGGTAGTATCTAACTTAGTGAATGTCCTTTTTAGAGCCCAGAGGGTTCGAAACCCCTTGGCTGCGACCTCCCCGCAATGGGCCGTCGTCTTAAGATCATTACTCACTGTCACCCTTAGATCCTTATGAAACCGGACTACGGGTAATGACACATCCCCTATGTTGTATGTATTAAACTTTGAATCCCCCAAGTGCATGTAAACACACTTTTCCGCGTTGATAGGCATCAGCCACTCTTTAGACCAGTTTATCATTTTATTTAAGTGTGCCTGAAGAGCAAATGCGTCTTTGTCTCCAGTTATTACTCGCCAAATTTTTACATCGTCAGCGTATAATAACATTGGAGACTGTACTATACTTGTAAGATCATTAGCGTACATTATAAAAAGTAAAGGATCTAGGACGGAACCTTGGGGTACTCCACTAAGTACTGGTCTCCAGATGGAGCACTTTGAATTTATTCTCACTTTTTGTCTACGATCTACTAGGAAATCCTTAATCCATTTTAAGAGGTCCGGCAATACCAAGGTTTTCCAACTTCAATAGCAGTCTATTAGTTGGCACCTTATCAAAAGCTTTACTGAAATCTATGTAGACAACATCCACTGAGTTTCCGTTATCTAGCGCATTATTCCAGAACTCCCTTGCTTCACATCTTTCTACCAACTAATTCTTTCTTCATGTACTATGTCCTTATATGCAATCTTTCTTTTATATATTACCACCTCTGAATTAACTACTTCTATGAGTCCGGTGTCCATCTTGTTGTGTTAATGAGGTATGGCAACTCGGACCGATGCACATATGTGCCTGGTCCTACGTTGTAGCTGACTAACTGAGGTTATTTAGCCTAGTGTGTGATCGAATTCATTACTTTGTATACATATTTAATGACAACGAATAACAGAGAAATGCGCATCGTTAATAATCACTCGGTTAACGTTACAGAACGTAATACCAGATGCTGCACATGCTTATATTCAAGTCCGTCAAGTATGATGTAATGATCTCTTTACGATTATCATCCTATTTAGTTCGTATTTTCTATTTGGTGTGGCAGTCGACCAATTTGACACCCAAAGTTTATTACCTTACTTGTGTTGGGTTGTCGGATAGCTTAACTACTTGAAATTACCTAGTGTGAGGCGACACTTATTTGGGGTCTAAAAATCCATACTCCATTTCCGCCGTGGGTATATATGGGAAAAATTTAGCTATTAATACGTCTATAACCCGCTGCTACTTGGTTGTTGGCTTAGTTTATTTTCTTTATCTGTTGACAGTCATATATTTAAACTTTATCAGCATAGGGTTGTGTGGGTCGTGGAGTTTTTATTGAAATCATGAACCGGTCAGTGTTGGGTCTATGATGAAAACCTAGAAGTCAAGCGATCTTGCGAAACCGAAGGTCCTGGATTTAAGTCCGGGTTTGCAATGATCTAACATTGTTCGGTTTATAATCTTAATAAAACTCTCACTTGTAGATGACCATTAACCTCTGCTCTATGCAGGATGAATATTTGCATATTCGCTACGTCAAAAATCTCTGCGTGTTTGATATCTGAAGCTTTTTCACCCTTCAATATCAATATTCTATAATATATTTGACTCGGATTTAAGATGAATTATTCTCTAATCAAGCCATGGTAAATATTACTTGTTACTCAGGAAATTATTGTCTTCGCATGAAATTGCACACAAAGTACAGAAACACTTCCAAATAGTGGAGATTTCGTTGTGCTCTTACATTCCAGCAAAGCTTGTTGTACTGCATAAATAGCCATATTTGGCTCTGCACTTAGCTTTTCGTTTAGAATGGTATTAAAATTGATACACTGGTTCTCCGCATCAGACACAGTTAAAGGCGCTGCTTACAAATCAGGTAAATTATTGAAAAATCATGTCTACGTACTCAAGATTTCGGATTCCAGTACTCCATATACACCCCATTATGTCCTTCAAAACCCTATTGTCAATCCCTAGTTTTATTTTTTTGTCGTTACTACTACTACCGCTACATTTTATCACCCATCTTTTTTAGTTTCATCTCGTCGTGCTAGTACGGCATGACAACATGGTCAGGCACATTTATACTAGCTTCTATGTTATTGATGACTGTCTTAGTATCGGGAAATCGTTGACTAAATATGCGGCTGGTATGCATATAAACTAGTTAAAAGGCAATAATTGTGGATGGGTTTAAGATCCGCTCATACCGGTATCTAGTTGTAGACTAATTATAATTATTCTCTGAGAAAGTAAGAGCATGAAGACAACTGTTAAAATGTGAGATATATGTCATAAGTTGTGTAAGAATCAATACAAAAAGGGTTGATTAATTAGGTGGAGCTCAGGAAAAAAGCGAGAAATAATTAAAAAGCATGGAGAAAGGTGTTGCACAACTAACTCTTGCAATTGATGTTACCAAGGCAAAGCAAAATTAACAACATTGTCCTCTTGTGTAGGTAGGTTTAGCTTGGATATTCTGATAACAATGGCTTCAAAAAGACACAGTAAACTCAATATCGTTTGCTTATTATTGCGAAGGATTTCCGGAAGCTAACGTCATCACTAGGCAAACGATCGCACTACTACTCTTTATGCAATGTATTCGGAGACGCAAACAGTAACTCTCCTTTTTGTCCTTTGGCATGTACTTGTAAACTAGTAGACATAATTGGAAGTAGCTCAATATAGGAGTTAATTCACACTCGACGTTTGGTGTAGACGTTGTAGCCACTATATTATTTGATATTTTCATCTGATTTACTTCTTAATGTCAAAATCTAAGCTGTACTAATAACTTCGAAATTTTTTCTTCAAGATCACTAATAATTTTTAATCATTGCTCTATTAGATAATTAAATAAATTCTCTCAATTATCCATTGGAGCTTTTATTTCTCACGATCGCTTTGTAATTCTGTCTAGAATGAGCCAGTGATAGAGTGACGATATATATAGACACAATGGAGCCATCTGGTAAGGTTGGGTCAAAAACTGTTTCTAACTTAATAATTATAAAATGACTGGTAAGGCTTGATTTTACTCACTAAAGTTGTACATTTTTGTACGAAGTGTAAGAGCACTGTATATGTAAACATAATAGGAATAGTGAATGAACTGACTCCGAAAACTTATTTACGGACGTTGACAATACGTCCACTCTCTAACGGTCAACCTCGGTGATGATTGGCAAGACTAATAAAAAACCCGTTTACAACTGACAACCCAGTCAACCAGAGAAGAATCAACAAACACAAGTGGGGGGGTGTTGGTTTGCTGTTAGTTATCTTTCATCTTTTATCGAATCGTGTTTTGAGTTGTTTTAATAATCGGGTAACCACATATATTATCTCTTGAATAACTTGTCGTTTGTCAGTCACGGTGAATAAACGTGGTCAAGTTATTTGACCATAATGTATATAAAACATTTGATTTATACTACTACATACATGATTAACTCAAATAATCAAAGTAAAATTACTTTAAAAAAAATACACTTTAGTTCTAATAGTAAGTTATATTTACAGCAGCCATTTTTACAAGTAAGATATCTTTTTAGTTAACGGTTTTTGGTGCACTCAATTTATTCAACCTGTGATTTGGTGTCCAGTGTCCCAAACTTTGGTTAGCATAATAATCCATGGGATAGGCTTCGGATAAATCTCGAGGCCAAAAAACTTGCTCATTTAAAGCAACGAATGCTTCGTATGGTGTGAGTAAAGGTTTAGTAAACTCAACACCCCAGTCAATACTAAGACGAGGACATGCAACCTTTGGAGCAAAAAAGAATGATGAAGTAGCTCTTTTGAGTCGACAAATTTATGCAATAAAAGTAAAATGTTATATGATCAACAAGGATGTGTAAAATCTACACCTTATTGACTTGGAGTATGCAAATGGCATTGTTGTATTCGATGAGGGTGCTGGAAAATTTCAGAGTTTTCTAAAAGCTTTAAGTGATGATGGAAGGATGGTTGGGATACATTTATCCTCCTTTATGTTCAAAATATTGCTTGAGGACTGATTTGAATCAATACATTTTCGGATCATACAGAGTAAATTAATTACTGATACATGACGACACCCTCATTTACCTTGGAAATTCCGAAAGGGTAGTGAATAACGAATAACATATTCCACCTCCCGCGCCTGTGGGTTTGTTTTTTAAAAACAAACGAGAAGTATACTGCACAGCAGTTGGCTTTATGTTCTTGTCTGTAAAAAACAGCCAGCGAAGGTTGAGGACAAGTGTATTTCTTCAAATCACTGTCTGAGTGTGGTAGAACCACATACTGAATGTAAGCATAATGTTTAAAGTCGAAATAGCAAGTCGACTGATCAGACTGTGAATCTTTGCCAACTTGACTGTTTACAACATTTGCCACCGAAGTGCTAAGCTGGATAGGAGAGGAGCAGGTCTAAATAACGTATGGATGCGCTAGACTAATTGTAACATCGATCCATTAAGTCATTTACTGTCGTTTTTGTCTTTATAGCAGTCTTTTGGCGGATTAGTTCGACTATTCTGAGTGGTTGAGTTGAGGTTCTTTTAGCAAGTGTATTTGTAGATGGAAATAACGAGTTCATAACGAAGTCAATTCTGATGACGAAACGTCCATAATCGAATGGAGTGGCTTACAAGACATCAAACATATTATGTCGCCCATTGACAAAGCTGAAGAAGTTTAGCACGAACCAGACAATTTATTATTGGAGTACATCTTAAGTGGTTATAGTAAATCGCGTTTCTAATTTCCAAGCCCATTAAAAGTACTTCAACCATAAAATCAGGTCATTTTAACGCTTACGGCACTTAAAAATTGTCATACGCATATATGAATTGAAGCCTAAAACCGAAAAGTTAAAGATACCTGAATCCAGACGTCTACTTGTTCATCGAAAAGCGCTAATTTACTTGGAATTATTTCAGACAGCAATAGTATAATGTAAGTCTTTCCTGATTTTTCCAATTCTGTCTGAAGTCGTTTCACAACGGTTGATGACCCTTGTTTTCCGAGTGTACCTATATTACAATCAGAGGAAAAGTAGTACGAAAACAGTTTCTCAGTTAGATGCTAGTGAGGTTAGAGAAAAGCAATTTATTTGGGAAGGAAATGGTATTTATGAAAAATTTCTGAGTAAATGGTTGGTGAAGGTTTGATTGATTTGGGAGTAATTTTCTCCACAGTCTAGTTCCAACTAGAGAAACAATGAGAACTAGTAAACACGGGATAGTTGCTTTAATAAAATAAATATTCAAGAGATGTACGTACACTTCATAAGAGATCAAACGTAAGCTCTCCAGGTTTCGTGGTATATTTTGTCTAACCAGTAGGTCGAGGTTCTTTACCTCTGGAGCGATCGATTGAGCAGAATATAGTTTTGAAAGAAAATTATCAAGTAAATACAGCAGAAGTTTATATAACCAGAATGATGATAATAAAGGCATAAGTTGTAGTTTACTTACCCAATATTATCCCAAAATTGACAGCATTTCTTGCGGTATCAACAGCTTTTTTTCTATGTTTACGCATTACTTTATGATCATAGTATTCACGCGTAAATGACTTATTGTAGGGATCATAACGATAAGCAGCTAACAACGGATTAGATATCATAATAGATTCAAGATGAAAGCGACCATCACCCACGTAGATTAAGGCATCAACACCTTCTACCTGTTTAAGAAGAAAATATACAGATATGATCGGAACAGCGATTAAAAGTGTTAAAGAGCAAACAAGGAAAGTGATGAGATAAACTCTTGCGAATATCTCTCTGTGATTCAACCATTCGTTCACGAGTTCGGATACCGTCTCCTCCCCGAACTTTGGTTCGGACAGCTGGATAGTGTTGCTAAGTTTTAGAGTAAAAGCAAACCTCGCTAAATTATACTTTGTTATCGAGCTGTTTGACATAGTGAGTGTATATTCGCTAGCAAAAGAAATCCATAAAGGATAAGAAATATCACTAGCAACTTAAAAATATTGAAGTTTTATGTACAGCCTTATTCATGAAGGGCTGAAATGTAATAAAAACGATTCAGATGGCTTGTGATCCCTGATCAGGAGCATCCTTATGACTCTATGCACTGAATCTTCAATAATTCCAGAAAAAATGCATCTTCACTTACACTTAGTAAAACAAAGTGAATTGGTAAAATGGACGACATATTTTAAACAGACATCCAACTTGCAGACAAAGTAATGACATTTTCTTGGCACAATTGTAAGCTCATCTATGTTCAACCACTGTACAACGCATCTACTGAAAAGGAGAAATCATTATTACTTGATCACCACTAACTTTTAAATACTGACATGTTAAACAAAAAACAATTAAGTGAGTAATGTGGTTTAACATGTGTTTCTGAATAGTGCAGTTGGGACGAGAGGATGAGATGGTTGTCAGTTAAGATGATCAGATCACTTCACGTATTCGCTAAACGAATCCTTACTTTGAAATGACGCAGCAGACTGATATATATATATATATATATATATATATATATGGAGAGTTTATGAAGATCAGACCATTTAGCGCTTGTCACTTTATGCTAAATTAAACTATATTAAAGAAAGCACAGAATTAAGTAAACGTAACTGAATGGAGATATTCAGTCGTACTGATATAGTTAACTCAGTCCCACTCATACTGAAGGTAATTTCTTTTGGTTATTGAGTATTCTGTCTACATCAGTGACTTTAAATGATGTTCGATAGTGTGTATTGTCATCAAATTTTATTGGACGTTAATGTGTCAATAGTTACAAACATGTACCATTGAATACTGTGATAGAATATTTAAGACACTGTACATTGTTTTACACAAATAAACAACAAAACAAGAACTAGTATAAAACTTACTTTAGGAGATGTACATCCAAGTATTTCACCAGGCGATAAAGGAAGGCACTGAGGGATGGTAACTGAGTAGCCGGCTTCTAATAATGGTTGTTTAGCAGTCTGCAAACTAGTAACAAATTGTATTGTAGAAACAAGGGCTAAACGGGAAGACTTCTCAAAGTTAGCCTTTACACTATCTATGAGATGGACGATATCGATCTGAATATCAACAAATACGTATCTATGTACGTACAGATAAGTAAAGAAAAGAAAACCACTGAGTATTTTAATACAAACCTATTATATACATGAGGAACCACATGAGAATTATGTATCACAGAAAGCAAGTTTGCCTAACTAGGTGTTACAGTTATAGTTATGACTTATTATTTGTAAACATGAACCAGACCATCCCGGTGATTAACAGAGAATAATGAGAACTGATACATCTGTTTATACTATCGATTATCTGAATGTGATAAAAATACAACATGGTTTTTCATAAATTTAGGAAAGGTGGATTTTAGAGTACCAATTAAATTCATCTTGAACCATAAAAATTAAGACTTCTGGAAGATTGTAAGTTATTACACAGTAAGATCGCATACTCAACGTACAGAACAATTTTTAGGATAACACGAACGCCATGTCACTCAGAGTTGCTTCCAGAATGTCAACAGGGAGCGCGGTCCTTGTGACTGTAAAACCGACATCCAAGTAGGTCATTAACAAACAGCGGATAATTATGTTCCTCATTTTCTCGTAAAAAGTATTTATGAATCTGATTATACTCTCTACTGGAGTGCCCCCAAATGCCCTGATACGGCCGGGAGTGGGAAGAGTCCGTTCTCCCTCTCGAAATGCTCTTACATGGCCACGCGTATATAGCCTCTGCCAGGGAAGTCCTACTCACTTCCTTCTCGTGGCATTACTGTTGTTTACGAAATCGAGAGGACGAAAAGCGAATGTCCAGCGCTTTAACCAGGTTGGTGAACATGAAGAGCCCACCTAAGGGAGTTGGAAAACCCTGATTCCAAACCAATAGTGTACATAGGCTCCAGTATCCTGAAGGAACAAATGGAGTATGAACCAATCGTTGGTCACCGACTACCATGGAAATGCATCTCCTTACTTTGCTCCACTGACTTGTGGATCAGACCTTTAGGTCGAAAGCTCCGGGTGTGGCCCCCTAAGAAAACCACTTGCTTCGGTTTGGGCACCGGGGCAGTATCACAGCCCTCACACATATCAAATGAGATCTGTGTGTCGCATATGTATTTGGTGCCTCCTCTACTGGAGATCGGTAGCAATTTAGAGAAAAAAATCCCACTGTTTATGGCCATCGAATCGAGAGCGGATGGCAGAAGAAATCTAAGAGCGAAACGTCACACGGTGATGTTTGTTAGTGTCGAACAACAGCGAAGACTTTACACATCAAATTACATGTTAAGGATATATACATAGCTAATCATGGAACAAATTATTTACTAAGATAGTAACAAATCAGTCGTCAAAATTCAAACTAACAGTTGTAGCATCTTATGATTTAGTAAATATCAGACAGTCGTTCATACCATGATTAACAGCTACAAATTGCCCATACAGATAGTATGGAACATATAAGATTAGTGGTTGCCGGCAGGCATGTATTTGATAAAATCTATCAACTCAGTAATAGAAAATCGAAAAGACAGGAAAAGGATTCAAGACAATAATACAACAACAGTAGAAAAGTGGCAGGAAAAAAGTTATCAATTTATTTCATGATGGAAGCTACAGAGTGGCATATTCTTCATGGATAAAATGAAGATAGTTTACGTATCGGGTGCCTTATGATTGGTTGTGATTTACACCATTTAATATTTGTAGTCACACATTAATTTATCTCCCGGACCCAAAACAAAGGGCTGAAATCTGTGTATTATTGCTAAGCACGAGACAATGATATTAAAACAACTTTTAATCCATTAATTACGAATAAAAAGCGTAAATAAATACTCTGAAGCAAGAAACCTACAGAACAGAAATTGAGTCCAACGGTACCAAGCAACTATGACCATAATGTACAAGCAAGTCAACACCAAGAGCTTTTGCAGTCAGCTCCTCCACACAACAAGCTCCATAAGTCACATCGCCCAAAATTACAACATCAATATCTTTAATACTGTCCTCACCTACAGTAGTATCGTTAGTAGAGATAGTAAGAGCATTAACTGAGGTTTTATTACTACGAATAAAGTAATTTCGAATAATTTCAGAAATTGGTATTGCAAACAAGAGCAAACCTTCTGGCATTTGTAAAGCAATCCGCCTGGCTCGAAGACAATGTATACGCCATATGGTTTTATGGATCTCAAAATTATAGTGAACTGGTAAATATTCTGATATAGATTTATTTAATAAAGGATCATCTAGAAGCCAGTCTGGTATTTTCCATGGGAGAATACGTTTAGTTGGCATCTGTAATTTCAAATATAGGGTACATTTAAATACAAGTGGAATATTATTTGTGTAGTATTTAGTAGAAAAATGTTCAGAAAGTATATGAAATTCCACAATTATACGAGATTATAAGCTATATATTTATATTGTGATTGTGAGTGGCTTATCGTCTATGTGAGCAAAAAATGAAAACTTCAAACAAGACAACAAAAAACGCACTTAATTGCATGTTTTATTTTCTTTCTATGGCTCGTTGGACTGTATCTGTGGACTGACTGGATCTAATGGTTGTGCCCACATGCAGGTAATGCAAACTATTTGTGCAAAAAACATTCTGTGATTATGGAATATACATGTTGCTACGGCTCACTGTAATCGACTATCGCCGCTGCAACATATAAATAACTCCTTCAATTTAAAGAGAACCTATTTATTTTCCAGTTAAATTGTAAAAAAAAGCAACTCACTAAAAGACAAGTGAATAAAACTATACTTGTTAAATGGGTTAAATATTCACTTGCTGGCACTATACATCTTAAGTAGCTGGATACTTTACAGCGTAAACGATATATATATATATATATATATATATATATATATATATATATATATCATAAGAGCAAAATTTGTAACAAAAGTTCGCACGAAGAGTGACGAGAACACATTTTTCTGACAGAGCTACAAGTAGAACATCTTATCGTCAGCTGATTTCGGTCTTATAAACAAGCTATCTACGGACATAAAATTAGTTTTATAATTATTACGTGTAAACATTTTGACGAAGTTGGACATTTTAAATGCGAGTAAGTCAACAGAACAAGATGAGCTACAACTCAGACAGCTTACACAGCTTCTTTAAGAATGGCGTCAGGATGTATGGGTGGCATAAGCACTATTCCTAAGGCAGGCTCTAAGTAACATGCATCACGTACACTAACTAGCCTTATGAATGCCGTTATATTAACTTTAATCTCGTCATAACCCACTTAGAGCCCATACTGTTGTTTACCAGTGAACATTATTTTTATGCACGAAACAATATGTAGTCCCACTTTATTGTTACTCATTATTAATGCATTGATATGCGATAAGCCACGTCGCTCTATCAGATTACTCCGACAAGATGAATGTAACAAGAAAACCAAGAGAGCTCGAAATAATGTAGTAGCAATGATAATAAGGAAGACTGGATATTGGGAATACAGTTCAAAAACATAGAGTGGGAAGATATGTACGATGGAAATCTGGAATTCAACATCTAGAAAAAGACAAGGAGTGAATGGATCTGTACCATTATGAACGATTCAAAGCCATGTCACCAAAAGTCTTCGGCCAGGGATTGTGGTTATTGCGCGGACTTAAACCCCTTAATCTGTATCTACAAACGTAGCTCAGATCAAGTCAATTATTTGTTCTGATTTGACTACTTTATTTTATCGTTGATATTAGGTATAATTTTATGATTCGCGGACATTACAACGTCTGAGTGTTAGCTCTAGTAGAATATCTAAGTTGAATACCATGAGAAAGAATAACTGCTGTTCTGAAATTACCTACTTTTTACCAACTTTTGAAAGACTGATCATTTACCTCGACATTCTAACCTTAATACTTAAGGAAGTCCTAGATGAATTTTATTGATGCGTACTTATTTTTTAAAGGTTGAGTTACTATACGTCTAGATAAAATACGCAATAAAAGTTAGTCAAAAACTGAAGTATAATAGCTTATAAGAGTTTTAGGAGCACCTGACTATTACGTAGAGCCTTCAGCCACGTATATGTTGAAACTTCCATGCCCCACACAAAGCCAAGTGCTGCAAATCAGTAAATAGCACCTTAACAGGAGTAAACTGTAGAAAAAAAAGTTTAAAGAAGCAGAAACCAAGTTGGTTACTGGAATTAAAAAACTACCGTACGGTAAAAGATCTTAACTAGAGGTGACTTGATCACGGTTTTCAAACTATTTAATACATTGGCACTTTACTTTCCCTAAGAACAGATAATTTACGAAGGCACTCTCTAAACGTTTATAAGTCTAAAACAAATTGTCAGCACAAAACCGAACATTTCACAATCAAGGGTTCAAACCTGGGACTTCGAGCCATTAAGTCTCAGGTGAAAACCCTATCCTGGCTACTTAGATTTGAGTAGTCCGGTGATATCGTTCTCCCTCATATGCAAAAACCTCAAGGACTTGATTTCAATGAATTCCTTGTGATTGTTCAATTGGTTGGATTCCTTACTTCAACACGTGATTGGTGAGCTACTTTCCAATTCGCTCAAAATGGAATTGAGCAGGGCTACAGGTTGTGAACGAACCAGGCAGAAACACAATAATGAACTTCGATTTTGACGCTGGATTATCTTGCCCACAGAGTTAAATAAAATCTTGGTAATACATCTGTTAATTCATAATGAAAATCCCACTTACATTTAGATTTAATTTGTAAACTAAAGCCCCCACTGAAACTATCATGTGCTAGTCTACACACTAGTATAAACTCTTAATACATCTAGAAAGTGGTTGAGCTCAACCAACTAGGTTTCTCAAATCTACTTAAGTATCGTTTATGAGTCAAAGAATACAGTCTAGTATAGATCAGTCGAGGTCTTTGATCATGTGAATTGATTTTATAAAGCAGTTTTGTTTATTTGAACATATGCAGTGTTTGTTTAGAAAAAGGCAAGGGGATGCATTAACCTTGAGGAAGCGAAACAACCGCCTAAGGAAATTTGTCAAGGGATGTGAAGTAACAATTTAGTTGGTTTTTATTTTGCATCCTAAAGATGGTTATCCTGGCCGGTCTGTTCAGTTTCACATGATTCAAAGTATTAAAATGACAGAACACTCATTAATGTGTGACCTCGGACAAAATTTGACTAAAAGCTGTTGATTTACTCGGGCTTCTTACTGCGGATACCATTTCCAGTTTTTCGGTTCCTTTAATTGCATTTAATAAGTAATTCGTCATCAACGGTCATAATTATCAGTAGTTCTCTTTTTAGATGCACATTTACGAAATTGAGTTGCGTTTAATTGCAGCCTGTAGATACGGCTAAATTCGGTGATGATTGTATCCGGTTAATTAAAGTATTACAAAATATGGGCAAATATGAAGATAGGTTATAAGAGTTGGAAAGAACAATAAATTTGATAGAAGACAGGGCAAAAAGAATATGATGCTCCTTAGTTAATTGTTTATTGTTAGGTAAATAATACGCTTAGTCTCTACTGTGATTCAGCAATGATGCATGATAGAGAGCCTTCATCCGTTATTATCCTCTGAGACTAATGAGACCATCTTATGTTGAACAGTTACAAAGCCGCGTGCCTTGAGGGTTTATTCGCAGTTGAAATTATTTCAGTTGCAACCTCAGGAACGAAGACTTGCCTGTCCTACGATTTAGCGTATACCATGAAAAACTAGGTTCTTCACGTCAAAGTTATTAACACTGCTTGTTTGGTGTCAAAAGTTATCATTGGTTTGTTGACTTACGGCGTTCAGACAAAACAATGTTGCACTGTTAAGTCAGTGCCTGTGAAATTGCTATATAGCTTGTCCTTTTAAGCAGGGTTTTTAATGTCAGAACTTTCAAGTTGGTTCGAAAAGCCTATCGCGAAATTCCATATGCTCCATATATCGAAGCTTCACTTATACAACGAGTAAGTAACCCAAGTCAGCTATAGTTTTAAAATCTGAAAATCAATCTTAAATACTCAGAATACATGGATAAGTCATATGAAACGCTGGATATAAAAGTCACTCAATTATTACCGTATAAATATCGTATAGTTAAGCTTGTTATAATATAGAGACACAAGCTGGCCGTTCCCTTAACAGTTTTAGCTGAGACGATACTGACTCGATAACTGAAATTCATGTACTGTCATCTTAATCTGCATGGGAGAAATGACTCCGTGCACAGTGAAACTATATGACAATTAGGGTTCGTTACATGTGTATAAGTTGTATGAATGTATGCATGGGCTAATTTGATCGAGCAGAGCTACCGTTAGTCAAATGCATACATGCTGAATTTGTTCATGCATGGAGGACATTTCGTCGCTGACATTTATATAGTCACAATGATATGGCAAATACAATACTAAAATTACTAAAACCTTTGTATTATTGCATTTTTGAAAAAACCCGAAATGGTTTCCACACAACACTTATGTGCCTATAAGATATTTCTGAGTAATAACATATTCCATGTGGAAAGCAAGATCACACCTGCTCGACCTAACCGCGCAACACCAAGCTGTCCCTTATTTACCATTTCTGACCTTCTCTATGGTTTTAAGTTTAAATTGTAACATTTCTGAGTTATCATATGTTCAGCTTCAAGGATCGTGAGGATGAAAACCAACATCACTACATAGCCAGAACTATTTTAGCACCGTCTATAACGTGGGTAGTGGTACGTTCAAGTTTTCGCTCGCTTTTGTCATTGAAGTACGGTATATCGATCTATTTGCAACTTACGAGCCCAAATTGACAACAGAACCAAGCTTCAATTTAGGCAACAATGTTTATTCGCAATTTACAAATAGTCGACCCAAATGTCGTTCTGACAATAAATATAACAGTTACAAAACAAACATTCAATTTCGTATGTTCCCGAAGGAAAAACTCTCAAGCACCAAACCAAAAGCAAACCCAAATGTCCGAAAACAATTATATAAACAAACAAGTTCAGATGTTGAGTAGAACAAATGCATCCAAAAACACGGATAAGTGACCAATATTCAGTATAATTTCTTGAATCAACCACATGACTTCAGTTCTCTTGAAAGGGATAGAGACGACTTTTGCTGGTCAAGAGTTTGAAAAATATAAATACACAACGACAAAACCTAAAAATATAAGTTTCAACCATTGCTAACATTCTTTTGAAGTCTGATTAAAACAATCAGTCCTTTACTCACTGAGGATGATTGTTTCAATTGAAAAAACTAATCTCCTTGAATTCCCGAAAATTCAAAGATTCATAGAAAGGCTGATTATCTGGAGTAGTGACGCCAAACGTCAAGAGTAGAAAGGTATTCATACTTATCATGTATTCTGGCTATAGGAGGTAGACGAAAGCGAGTCTATAGGAAAGTGTAGTCGAGCGTTCTATTAACCCAGGGTTATAACAAGGTGTTAATACTCACAGATATTTAAATGAGCAGTTGTTGACACTTAGGGTTTGTAAGTTTGGTGAAATTCCTTCCACAATGTTTATAGTGTGATGCGTTTTTGTATCTTTCTGAATTACCACCTCACTAATGCGGGATATGTAAGGATATGGACAAATAACTAGGTACTTGGCTACTGTGATACTGAACTAGTAACCCAATAGCATAGATTTATATCTTCAGAAATCAGCTAAAATATTTTGTATCATAAACATTGGCACTGCGCGTGACAGGTTCACTGGAGATGAACGGCAGTAGTGTAATGGTTTAACTATCGTCGGATCACACCAAGCGATGAATAACTGTACTGGATTACTCTTATCAGAGTGACTGGGCAATCCTCCTATTCTGGTGTCCACGCAGGATGAAAACAAACTTATCATGTGAAAATTTTGTTTAGACATAAAGTGGGTAGAAAAATAAGATGCATAAGTAAAAAAATCTACCTCGAGGCCCAGTCTCATGATATTTGTTTTTCGATTCGCATCATTCATCCTTGGTCTTGATGGTGACAGACGAAATATTTGGCCTTCAGTAATTTGCCATTCTAATCGATACATAATTTGGTACGATTTCATTGGCTCCGTAGGACTTTACCATCAGTGAAAATTTTCAGGTCTAACTAGTAGGCTTTTAACACGTTAATTGCTTTGCCATGACGAAACACAAATTTAGAGACATTGTGAATTTATGATTTAGTCCTATATTAGTTTGTTCATCTTTGATGCTATAATAATGGACCACATCCCGAAGTCGTAGACCTGTCATGGTATGACCCCCAAATCTATGAGATCTTAGTGGTCTTGGGTCCTGTTAGGGGTATGAGGGCGGTTATCACTTCCCGGTTGCCCACACCGTGGAAGGGTTCTTCTGGAGGTACCTGAAAAGGAAATTGGATTAGAGGCGGTCTCAGTGACCTGAGAGCGTGACCGCAGTGCCCAAGGGGCAACTGCTTGAGGCCGGTCACACACGACCATTGTCTATTCTGACCAACCGAACGTGACAACCAACAGTATGATGTTTAGCATATTCGAAAATCATGTTTGGGCTGGGGATAGAACAATATATTTATTGTGAATAAGGATAAGTTACACAGAGTGACAACTGCATAGTCGGACCATTTCATATAAAAATTGTTTTCACGATCACTACTTTTCAACCTTCTCTAAGCGTTCCATATTGGATGTAAATATTCGCAGTAATTATTTGCTCGGCTTCAAAGATCGTGTGGTTAAAGACCAATGCCACTGCGCTATTCTCTCACAAGTATCAGCATAACGTTGGTTTTATTCTTAGCACGCGTAAAGTGAAAATCAACTTGAATATTACTTAAGGTTGGGATTATCATAACGAAGAATGGTTCATCACAGAAATATTCTAACAAGTCACATTAAGATACTAAGTAACAGCCGCTGAATAACAGCCAAACTTAAGGAAGCATTGTTTATGTATCAGCAGTAGGCTGGCTGAAGGAACAAACTTATAACCACGAAGAGGAGTAATTCTACCTAGTGTTTCAGTTAGTTTTTATGTTTAATACTGTTTATTTATTTACGGGGGGATTTTCCATTTCCCATTTACTAATACATATGAATTGTTATCAAAAATGCTTTTAATACGTGGAACTAGTGGTAATATGAATTTTGGAGAGATAGCTGACGGTAGTTCTTTGAACGTGGGTGCATACGTTGGAGACATAATCTAGACTTAATATTACGATTTGCATTAGACAAATTAGTCATACGGACACATTTTGGTAGATGGTTTATACAAGTTAGTTGCGAGCATCGAGTTTGGTACAAGGTAGAAACTGACTAATCTGAAATGTTGTGGTTATAAGTTGTTGAAATCGGCAAAGCGTATGTGACACAAATACAAGTAACGTGGTCCTGCACGATGCTTTTGGTCTAATAAATCTTTACAAAATGACAAACAGCGAGTGCTGCTCATGTAATTATCAAGAAGAGTATTAGTTGCAATCAAGAGGAGTACAACTCCTAACTCATATCTATGATAAAAGAATAAATCTTTGTTAGTGTTAAGGTGAACACAACACTGATGTTTATAGTTTGCAGGAGACTTGTTCGACTGCCTATACTGATGATATGCATGCAATATTGTAACACTAAACCTTTAATTAGACTGAAAATGTTTCAAGATGTTTGTCAAATGATCAAGTGATAGAGCAACATACTAATATCTTCTATAATAAATAAAGACAATCACGAAAAATCAACACCATTTAATGGTAGTTATCAGTCATTTTGTCAATCGAGTTTGCGTTAATTGTCGCATCAATTTTATCAGTCATATTACGTGATCGTTAAGCCATGACAATGCTTTATGATGATATGCGGAAACCATTAGTAATAACTCGTTATATTGTTGATCGGGGATTAGCTGGTTGGAAATAGGTGTTTTTGTTTTAAGCTATTCTGAAACATTAGAAGTTTCCGGCATTAAGGAATTCGATTTGCCTTATTGTATTACAGGTTGTGGTCCAGAAATACTGGTTCACTTAGTGTTGATTTTAGCAATGGGCTACAT